GACACTTTAACTGACCCAGAAGGCCAACCAGCCAGGGTATAGCAATGAAATTTGATATGGAGCTGCATAGCTAGGTGCAGGTGTCACCATCTACACGGTGGTAACTCCTACATATCCATACAGCAAGTGTTTACGCATTTAGAAGCAAACTTGTCCTATTCTTACCGCATAAGATGCCTCCTATTCTAGGGCAACGGCCTCTTAGTTCATAACAGGGGCTTCCTGTTCATAATCGGGCCTCCCACCCATAACGGACCTCCTACTACGTTATGGAGGCATCCAAGCTCGTAGCGGATAAGCTCATAACAACGGCCTCCTACCTTTCACCGCGACCTCCTAGTTCACCACGGGGTCTTCCAGCTCATAATAGGGGTATTCTTGTCCAAAACGGGTCTCCTGGTCCATAAGGGATGCTTCCTAATTGATAACGGTAGCCTCTTAATTAACAAAAAGTGCCTTCTGGCTCATATCGAGACCTTCCAATTCATAACGGGAGTCTCCTAGTTCATGGTAGTGCCCTCGGCCTTGTTCAAAATAGGGGCGAATCTAATCTAATCTCGAATCTAAATCGAATCTAATCGAATCGAATCTAATCTAATCCCCACGAATCTAAATCGCAATTGGTCAACACTTTGCATTAACATGGCTGAGCCAGTGTTGCCTAGAAATGTTCAACATTCCGTCAGAATTGATAAGTGGCATGTTATGTGACTTAGCTTTGAGCATACGCGCTAGCAAGTCGTGGCAACACCAGCCTCTGTGTCAAGCGTTGCAGTCTCCGTCGGCCGCCCATCGTCCGCCCCGCAGCTGATCTCCGTCGGCCGCCCATCGTCCGCCCTGCAGCTGATCTCCGTCGGCCGCCCATCGTCCGCCCTGCAGCTGATCTCCGTAGGCCGCCCATCACAAGTGATGGCCAACGGGTAGACGAAAATGATGATGCATTTGAGAGAGGTGCTGTTGAGAGCTTAAGGGCATCAAATTGTGCATTAAGAGGGTAGTCCAGGGTATATTTCACCTATGCGATTTTAGCATTGATGATAGGAAATGATTGGCCTTTACGCGAATTAGTGCTGGAATCTGGTGGTGGAACTAGATGAGTTAGAATCTATATTTTTCGTGTTGCTGTAGCTGTTCATCTCTCCAGAGCACAACATCAAAATTGTAAAAATGCACCCATTTTTTCTTCAACGGCATGAATTGATTTCTATACTTTCGAAACCATTATTTCACGCCGGTCGTTTTCGCACGCGTGGCGCCTGTCGCCTGGTATTACTTGCAGCGGCCAACGCTGTTCAGTTTTACGGAGACTGCAAGCCGTAAAACTGAAAGGCCGTGGCTATCCTTGCTGCCGAGATTGCGGGCGCGTAGGCTTAGACCTTTTAATGTAGCTTGTTTCATTACTTGACTCTGCAAAACAGTAAAAGTTTCAGAAAAAAATATGGAATGACCCTGTCTTCCAGATGTCACTCTGGCCACGCAGGGCAGGATCATCTGGCCGATCTGAGTCCTCCAGAGTTCTGGAACCCTTTAAAGGGGTGCATCATATCATATTGGTCCTCTGCCTGACACCGGAGGCCTTCTGATCCGCGCAGTTGACCCTAGATTGACGCAGGAGCCCTCATTGACGCGACATAATCCTTGATCGCCCGCAGGTGGTCCAATAGTTGGCACATCTAGTCCGTGACAAGTGCCCCCCTGGTCGGTAGCAAGGCACCCCAGCCCATGACAAAAGTCTCTTGGTTTATACCGGGACCCTTCTTGATCATGACAGGCGCATCCTATTTTGTAACAGGGCCTCCTAGTTCATAACATACTGTTTACCACGGGTGTCGATTTGTATTCTTTTGGGTGGACCACTGTTACCCCCCTCAATATCCGATTTGCCCCCCAACGGTGAGTTTGGCTCCCCCCCAACCTTCTGGAGCCAAGGGACAAGTAGGACATTACAAATGGGATGTTAGACTTATATCAATTTTAAAGGAGGCGGGTTTCTGCTAATTGTTTCAGGGGTAAAACGAACAAAGAAAATGAAGACTGAGATGCCATGTTGTTCAGCGAATGTGCGGTGCCATGCTCAGTTGAGCGCAGCTGACTGAGATAGTCACCCTGCCAAACTTCCACGTTCGTACCGGGTTTACTTAAATGTTCCTTTTTACCTTGCATGATGCATGTTTTTAATTACACGAATGCTATGTCTTGTTGACTACGATATACTTTTGTGCTATTATCTGAGTGTTTTGGCATCATCCAGCGATATTTTATGACCCACAGGCTGTAGCAAGATGCGCTATTTTGCCACCATACAGTACGAAATCTTGTCGGAAATTGAAAACAAAACGGCCGACCAGGCATCTATGACGCTATGATAACGCTTTTCAAATCCTGCCATTCCATTAGCTATGCGGCGATCAGGGCCAAGAAAGCATAACTGTCAAGTTATTCATATCTGGCATTCATTAGAACGAGTTCCAGATGTGACGGCCGTCGATAGGGGGCTCTCAATCAAAGTGAAGCAAAGGACGATAACGTAATCAAACAATGGCGTATTGAGTATCATATTTCCTAAACAGAGACATTGCGCTGCTTAGAGCAGTACTTTCTGCTTATAATAGCATACACCAATAGCTCCAAGTGAGCTTAGTTCATCGTTTCCGATGCTTGCTTAAAAATTTCCATATGTGTAATATTTCCTTTGAGTTAACCGATTGCAAGTCTATTTCCGTAATGACTAGCAGCCTTGTCCAACTTTTTATATTATGAAGCAAAGAATGTGATTCGTGATTGAAGGACATCCACTAGAGTCGGAGATGGTGCTCGCGGACGCCAGATGTGAATGATTGGACGAAAATGTTCTTCACGCCTTGAACAGCGCATGGCTTATGGGGTGGCAGAATTTGAATGGCGATGTCATCGTGCCATGCATGCCTGAACAGCCTTGAAATAATCTGCACAAAATAGTCTGCACATCTTCGCGGGGGTGCAACCCAGAAACTTAAGCGTTTTAGGCCTTAAGAAGGGGAAGGCTGGGGGCTGGATCACACGATCATCAAGGTGGCTTTATAATTTCAAAACTCTCATACAAATGTGGAGCAAATCCCTTAAGCCCCTTCGATGCTCTTCTGATCCCCCCTCCCCCCGCCCCCTCCTCCCGTCCCAATGCTTATGAATCATCGAGGAAATATCGGGTCAATGAAATGCAGCTGAGGTGCGAACTGCCGGTGCAGTTGGTCATAAACGTACCTATGTTTGCATCATCGCCTTCATATATTATTATCAATCTCGCATCACCTAGTCATTCTTCAACATCAAAAAAACCTTGGAACAGACCAAATATTGGTTGTTTTTCATTTCACCTTTGACAATAGGAACACAAATCAAAGCGGCCGAAATTCGAGGAGAAATCAGGGTTTGGGGGCACATTGGATCAACTTCATTGGCTTAGCCTCCCGTGCCAACCCATTTTAGGAAATTACAGCACTGCATCCATCCTTGTTCCGGAGCAGCATGTTGCATAAAAAGTTTTAAGTCTACGGGGCTTGCATTCTTAAAAGTAAGAACGCCGATGACAGCGGTTGTAGTTTCCATCAAACCGAGCGGCGTTGGCGGGCAAACACCGGGCGGTG